GGAGGTTTGGTTTGTTTTGAGATTCAGGACTTAAGCGTCTGTTGTGACAATGTATCTGTGTCCTGAAGCTCTTCTTTCCAAAGTCTCAGAGAGACCCACTTTCTCTGGGTGACGTATCTTGGAAGAAGAAAAAAAATCTTATTGAACGTATAAACAAGTGACGGAAGGTGTTCTTATAGAAAGTTTAAAAAAAAAATGATTTCAGAGAAGAAGAAACACAACAAAAGTACTGACGGAAGGTGTTCTTATAGAAAGTTTAAAAAAAAATGATTTCAGAGAAGAGAAAGCACATCAACAGTCATCGTCGAGCACACGTTACAAAAGGGAGTAGGAAGACATTAAAAAAAAAAACAAAACTATATATGCTTTGCTCTCCGTGTAGTGTGAGTGTGCATATAGGACTTGTCATTTGCAAAAGTTCTTTCACACACACTGGGGGAAGTCGATCATTTCCCCCTTGGTCTCAGGAAGTATCAGAACCGTAACAAGAGGTAGGATGGAGGCGGATAAATGCCAGATCTTCCAGAGCAGAGACATTCCCCCAACCTCGGCTTTCTTGAGGGTCGCTCGAGACATTTGATATTTCTAGTGGCGGCGAGGTGAATGTCGTCGAGCCACTCATGCAAATGTTACTCGCCGGCGAAGCAGAGAGCAAAAGGGAGTCAGCTCTCAAAAATTGCATAAAGTTCGACACCTGGTGACTGGCAGACGGGGTATCAAATCGAATACGTTCAAATAGCAAGCGTTTGAAGGATCGACTGTTGGGGAAGGTATGACGTCCAAAATGTTTCCCATTGGGAAATAATGGAAATAGAAATAATGTTCAAAGTGTAAGTAAGCGACTTCATGTTTCATGGTGCATTAAAAAAACATTTTTGTTGGTTTGGCGGAACTGTGCGTTAAATGTCGAGCTCAAGTCGTGAACTTGTTAACCGTACCGTACTCAGCTACCCCTTTCTTGCTGGCACATGAGGCAAATGAAATTCAGTTGCCACTTTAATTCTGATGCTGATGGCTAATTAGTTGGATGGCTTTGTTTCTCAGGGAGTACCTCGGCAGGCAGCTGCAGTCCGGCGACCAGCAACAAGCTCCGGCTGTGGCGGCTCGAAGCTGAATTGTCCTTGTGTGTGTGCGTGCGGGTGTGTGTTCTCTATTTAATGACTCACAAGATGAAGCAAGGCATCATTCCTAACTAGCCTCTTGTGTCGTGTTGTGCGATGTCTGTAATTAAATGTATAAAACGTTAAGTCTTACCTGTTATAGATGTCAGATTTTTTGTTTATTCCCCCTCAATAAAGGCCATGAAGGACGCCGCTTCTGTGTGCTTCGGCGCTTCCATTGTCCGCACTTGAGCTGTTGCTACGGCGACAGGCGGTGCTACCTTTTAAGGTGAATGAATTTCCCAGTCAGCTTAGATTTAACTGCATTTCGAGTGTGGAGCATGACGGAGGTTGTGAAGTTCTCTTTCCGCTACGATATATAATGCAAAGACCTGAGCAATCTGTCCAAAGTCGCTTGAATTTGGCGAAAATCTAAACTAATCCGCATGAATGCAGGCTTTGGGTAAAGCGATGCGACTGTACACATCGTCTTTTGTCTCGGAAAAAAACAAATCCAAACTCTGTGACCAGTCAATCTGTCCCAAATCCAAACTAACCCAAACAAATGTGTGCTGCGGATACTGCCATGAGGGTCTCCAGATAGTCAGTTAACATGATTGGAAATCAAAACAAACCCCGATCAATGCCAATGCCCATCTCTGGAAATGAAGTCACAAAACTGTCAAGAAGAGGGATGCTGAGGAAAAAAAACAGGAGTTTAATTACGCACACCCAATGACGGAGGCCCATTTCGTCTTGTGCAGGATTCATTAAAAGTCTCACTTTAAAATGTCACTTCAAATGCAAAGAAGTTGTTTCTCATGTCGTAATAAAAAAAGAAAAAAAAAGAAAGGTGTTTTGGAAAGGTTAGCGTTGGTGTTGAATGACAAGGATGACGAGATGCGAGCCAAGTGTGTGTGGAAAGCCAATATAATAATCAAATATAGGCTTGTATTTTGAAGGTCACCGGGGAGGAGGTCTCAAAGTCTCACGCGTTTCATTTCTGAGGAAAAAAATAACGTGGAGTTCACGGCATGCAGGTAACAACATTGGAAGCTTCACTCTTTATATTCTCAATAATTACGTGGAAGTTGTTGACCCGACTTGCAAATTTTTCGAGGTTCGAGCCATCATGCAGCCGTTTTGGGGGCGGGGCTTTGATTTGCAAGAGCATACTTGAGATTCGATCGCTGTATGGTGTCAGTGAACTTAAGTCACTCTTTCTAGATTCGTAAATAGTCTTTAAGCTGGTTATTGCGACTCCCAGTTGACGTTTCCTTTCAAACGACACATGAAATAAAGAGAATTACACTTTTTGTATTTGTAAAAGAAAAAAAACGACCCATGTTAGCATAATGCTAACATAATGGAAAATGTAATTGACTTACCAGTGGTTAGCATTGATAGTCGCAGTTTTACAATCCTTAAAGCAAGCAGTATTTGGACTCAAATGGCGGAACAACACATGTATACAAATAATGTATGCACACTCACAGGCATATAGTATTTATCATTTTTGAAGAATTACTAATATTACAGCAGGTAGTAATCGAAGAAGATGTGGTCATGTCTTCATTTGTGGACACAGCAGAAGTAACAACACAATGAGCTCACTTGCAACATGAAATCATGATGCACAAACTGTTTATTTATTTACATTCTTTCAAATGCTACGCCACGTTTTTATATAGTACGGTATTAGTGTTTTTTTCCTTATTAGAAAACAAACGTGTGACATATTTTTTTTGTTGCGTTTGTGGGGAGGTAAACAGATTAGTGTGACTTCATACAATTATGCTTTTAGTGACAAGCGTGTTCACGGAACGAATTAAAGTCGTATCTTGAGGTACCAATGCACAAACCCAATTCTAATGAAGTTCGGGACGTTGCTTTAAATATCAATAAAAACAGAATATAACGATTTTCAAATCACGTACAACCTGTATTTAAATTGAATGGTGTCAATTTGCCGATTGTCTTTTTTTTTTTTATGTTGGCCATGTTTACAAGTGAATGCCTGTCATTGTGTCGGCCATCTTAGCAGTATTCGGCATTAAACAATACAATACATCTTTATAACACTTTCACAACAGATGCACCCATAAAAATATTAACCGTAATACAACACAACACATAAAACTGACAATAATTTAATATCATACAATCATAACCACAAAAAAAAAAAAAGAATGAGGAGCAGCTCCCTGTCGCAGCGCTCATCCTTGATGCGTTGAGGTGTGAAAGGCGCGCCTACGCGCTCGAGCACACACACTGAGAGAGTGTCAATATTGTTCAAGAGAATCATAGATTCTGGCTGCCGCTCTGCTCTTCGAGTGCTATTTACAGTGGTGAACTCTGGCCCCTCAAACAGATGGTGTGCCCACCAAGTGTAGCTTTATTCTAAGGTACCAACATTCGGTGGTCAGGGTCACATGAAAGCAGTTACATGTTTTATTATATTCAATCAAAGTCCCCACGTTGTTTTTATTATATTCAATCAAAGTCCCCACGTTGTCTCGGCTATGTCCGCTTCCTCCGGAATATATATATATATACAGTATGTATATATAAAATTATTTCAACATATACAATAAAATAATATATTAAACTATTCCATAATATATCCATCCATTTTCTGAACCATTTATCGTCACTAGGGTCGCGCCATGCTAGAACATGATGGCTAATGGCTCACTACTAAACATGTTCACTGCTATTTAGTCCACACATGCTCGTCAGCTAGCATTCGTAATGTACATACTGCATGCGAACATTTGAACAGAGGACACAGCTCTTTTGATTATGTTTTCATTTCAGTGACAAATTGCACGCTGCACGTCTTGGATGACGATGATAAGATGATAATGCCAGCCACTAGCATCGACTGGCTTTTGTACATACGGCAAGTGAACATGATGCACAAACTGTTTATTTCTCTTCTTTATTCCTTAGTGGATTTTTTTAATAGCACATGGCTGAATATAAGAATATAAGTTTGCTGATATAAGTCGCTAGTGTTACTGCTAATCATTTTAGCCACCGCGTCTATTGTTACTTTTACCCGTGTGAATGACAAAAAAAGACAATATGTCTAACTCGTCATAACAGCAGTGTATTTTTGGTTTTAGCCATAGCCCTAAAAGGAAAACAAAAACAAAATATCGACACACGTTTTTTTTTTCCAAGAGTCATGAACACAGCTACAGCAACCGTGATAATGGTAGGTTTGATTTCATCAATGCTTATTATCAACATCCCATTGGCAAGAAGAAAACAAGTCTTATTGGCTCTTTTCTTCTTTACAGGATTGTTGCTGCTACAAGGTGGCAGAACTTGTACCAAGTTAACAGTGGCAACATCATTCTTTTGTTATGTGGTTTCGTTCATTGCTTATTGTGCTTTACTATGTTTGTGTGGCCTGCGGGCAAAAAATGTCAGAAGTAAATTCACTTTGCGCAATATTGGGTATAGTTTTCAGCCGTAGTCCCAAGGCAGCTATCTAAAATAGCACAGTGAGACACATAGAACTATAAGACTCTAAAGCCTACTGTTAAAAAAAAGCGAGGCCAAATGTTTGAAAAGATGTAAGATGTTAAAAACAAGTTAGGGATTCTCACCAGTGACCTGAGCCGGAAAGAATTGCTTCATTTCGTCAAGGCAAATGCAGAAGCCAAATTGATCACGTTCTGGCGTGAATCTTACCACGTCAAAACGTGAAACTTGGCATGTTAAAACATGAAACCTATGGCATTAAAAGTTCACATTTATCACCTTATAACGTGGTATAGATGTTTTTTGTCTGGTGTGGCGGTAATACGCTGGCTTGATATGCAACAGTTTATAAAAGTAAGAATATATTAATAAAAGGTGGGTTGGTTGTCAAGCCGGTGATGACGTCATCGGAGCGTCAGCGCTTAAGCAAGCTGCACACTGAGCCACGCTCACTCCATCTGCTTCTTCTCCTTCTCCACAGTAATAATAAGCCGCAAACATTATTGCGAATCGTTTCATTAGCGTTTTCAATCACTCTTTGTCAGCTTTGCGGTATTTGTATTAACTTTTTAGGAAGCTGGGACAATTCAAAGGTAAGCTCGTGTTGATGCTGTGTGTCACTGTGGTGTCGTGCCTGTTCAGCAGATTGTTTTTGCTTTTTTTTTGTCGCCAAAGTGGATGAAATGCTCGTTTTTTTGCATAGATTCTCATCAGGGGTCTCACTATCGTATTTTCTTAGACGCGGATATCATTGCAGAATTACGACATCCATGCTGTTTGAACTGCCGCAAATGTCTCCAATAAGCGTTTGTACCTTTATTGCCGAACATTTGAGCGCACCTTTTCCACCACAACGGCTTTAATATCGTAATGTTTATAAAAGTCGTTGTATTTCTTGTATTTTGCATTTTAACGCCATTTTTTAAAACGCAGGAATGGCAATATATCTCACTATTTTTGCTTTTAGTCGCTCAAAAAATGTTATATGTCACAAACGTCTTGAAAAAGGCTTTTGTCTCTGTCTGATCAAATTACACCGGAGACCACTTTTACACAATGTCTTTAAAACCCATGGAATTTCTTTCTATACTGTCAAAAAAGTGTCATGGCCGTGAATTTGGCATCCATTTGACGTCATTATACAAAAACGCGACACACATCCAAATGAATTCGCATAGAAATAGGTTCCAGTTGATTATTTTTGCTCATGTTCGATTGCATTTTTTTTTTTTTTTAGCTTGTGGTGCTTTTATTGTGGTAAACATCTATAAATGCCATGGTGGATGCGTGTTTATTTGTTTGTTTGTTTAACAGCAGCGATCAAGAACGCATGGATACCAGCGTGGTGCATATCCACCGAGGAGGAGAGCCCGAGGGCATGTGTCCCTGGGACGGGGAGGGAGAGGCGGCGGCTGGGGGTTGCACCTGGGCGACTTCCGCCGCCTCCTCCTCGTCCTTGGACGCTTTGAACGGGTCGTGGGAGGGGGAAGCCGACGACGCCGAGCCTATGTCGCCCATTCACCCGGTCATCGTGGCCGTGTACTCGCTAGTGTTCGTGGTGGGCCTGGTGGGCAACTGCCTGGTCATGTACGTCATCATCAGGTCAGTTCATTTTACAATTGTACGTTTTAATGGATGAGAAAATGTTATCACGAAAGTCTTGCTGCTTTCTTGAAAACTTGAATTGTTGGACATCACTTCGGAGATCCAAAAAGAAGGCGAATGGATAGGGTGTCATTTCATCTTCGCCACTGGGTGGCAGTCTTGTAACGTTTTATCAGATTAATACTGGAGACCAGGTGCGCTCAAGTGCAAACACCAAAGGTTCGCAAAGAATTCTTCACAATAAATCAAAGGCCCATGCAATTTTCGAGGTCGGTCAGGCCACATGTGCTTATACTATATTGTACAAAACAAATTGTCCTTTTCACTCATAGCAGCAAGAACATAAATTCAATTGCAATTCAATGTGATTTATTTTGACAACGTTAAAACAAAGAGTCAAATAAAACAACACATGACCCCTTTCATGAATCCAAAACTATTATACCAATGCAACACACATTGGCTCATGTTGATAAAGAGTCAAAATGGTGGTGGGGGGGGGTACAATTTCAATTTATGAATGCAACAATTGCCACATCCCCAACACACACACACACACACACACACACACACACACACACTTCTTAACAAGAAAAAAAAGGGTGATCAACAACAAGAAAGTGCAATCGGTACGAGTATTGTATGTTTACTTTGCGTGCGCATCAGGTACACAAAGATGAAGACAGCCACCAACATCTACATCCTGAACCTAGCGGTGGCGGACGCACTGGTGACCACCACCATACCCTTCCAGAGCACCGATTTCCTGCTCAGCTCGTGGCCTTTTGGTGAGGTGGCGTGCAAGGTGTTCATCTCTATTGACTACTACAACATGTTCACCAGCATCTTCACGCTCACCATGATGAGCGTGGACCGTTACGTGGCCGTGTGCCACCCTGTCAAGGCCCTCGACTTCCGCACACCTGTCAAAGCCAAAGTCATCAACGTGCTCATCTGGGTGCTGTCGTCCACCGCCGGCATGCCTGCTATGATTCTGGGTGGCACCAAGACCAACAATGGTAGGTCTGCAAAGTTGTTGTCGTTTTCACTGGAGAGTTGGGCTAGGACTTGTATTTCTGAAAATGTGCAGATACGATACTGGTTTGGAAATGCATCGCCTTAAGTTTGAGGATGCACATTTCAGCGGCTGGTTAGGGCAGGGACACGTACTGTATCTCTAAAATGTGGAGCTACTCATATTGTTGTTTCTGACTACCAGGGACAACAGAATGCGCTCTCCAGTTCCCCGAGCCGTACAGTTACTGGGACACGCTGATGAAGATCTGCGTGTTCATCTTTGCCTTTGTGGTGCCCGTCATCATCATCAGTGTGTGCTACACGCTGATGATCCTGCGCCTCAAGAGCGTCCGCCTGTTGTCCGGCTCACGCGAGAAGGACCGCAACTTGCGGCGTATCGCCCGCCTGGTTCTGGTGGTGGTGGCTGTCTTTGTGGTGTGCTGGACCCCCATCCACATTTTCATCCTAGTCAAGGCCCTGTCGCCCCACGTGCCCGAGACCACGCCCGTCATGGCCGCCTACTTCTTCTGCGTGGCGCTGGGCTACACCAACAGCAGTCTCAACCCCATCCTCTACGCATTCCTGGACGAGAACTTCAAGAGATGCTTCAGAGACTTTTGCTGCCCCGGCTCCCGGAGGGATTGCCAGGGGGTGAGCCGGGTCAGGAGCACCCTGAGGGACCACTCATGTCCCCCGGACAACCGCGGCGACCCCAGGCAGGCCAGGCCCGTATGACTAGCCGTGGACAGGTCCTCTGTGCTGGGACTCGAGGACTCCAACGAACTGTGCTTGACGCAAGTCACCACCGCTGTCTGAACCTCATCCTGGGGGTCCACAACCTGTGAAAGGCACATTGTGGTCTGCTTGTGATGACACCATGATCATCATGTCACCATGGTGGTCCACAACCGGTGATGTTACCAGTGGTCCACTTGTGAAGTCACCTCGGTGGCGGCATGGTCACGGTGGATCACCAATTGTGATGTCACCGCAGCGGTCCACCTCTGATGACATGACACACTAATGATCACCTATGGTGATCGGGAACTTGTGATGTCACTAAGATGGTCCACTTGTCATTCCACCATGGTGGTCCGCAACTTCAATCTCACCTTGGTCACCATAGTGATGATGTCACCGCAGTGTTCAACTTGTAATGTCATCCGGCAGTCTGTTTGTGATGACTCCATAGGGTGGTCAGCCACTTGTAGTATCAACCATGGTGGTCCGCTAATTGTGACATCGTCATACCGGAGATGTGCCTGGCGGTTTGCAGCTCATGATGTCACCCGTGTTAATCCGCTTGTGATGTCATTATCGTGGTCTGCAATGATGGTTCACAAGCTGTGATATCAACCATGGTGGTCTACCAATTGTGATGTCACCACGGTGGCTTGGTTGTAACATAGACGAATATCCTGCTGTGGTGTTTTGACCACCGTTGATTTAACACCTCAGTTAATCACTTGTGTCTCCCCATTTCACCTTAGGAAAAATAACATGGTGGCTGTAATTAGCTTCACTTTGATCCTTCGCAGAACCGTGCGTCCCGGTTGATTTCTTTCCTGCAATACACAGCACCTGCAAAGCAGACGTGGCTGAAAAAAATGACATTTATGCTAGATTGTGGTATCAGTATTATTTTTGTGTGTAAATATAAAGGCATCCTCTCAGTAAATGTCTTGTTTTTGTACACAATTTGAGGAAATGCAAAATACATTTTTTTTTCTTTGTTGCTGGGCAGAATTCGTGTGTACAAGGCCGATTTAAAAAAAAAATCTATACTGGTACTCACATCTCCGAGACTGTTTCATTGGGGAAAAGGGTTGCAAAAAAAAAAAAAAAAAAAGAGTCATCAGGAACACAATCAGACAAACACAGAAATGATTCCAAAAACAGCGCTTGGAGCAAAACGAAACATTGTTTTATTTATTCATACGTATCCATTTTGCAACAGAGTCACCACTCTGTGTTACTTGTAAAAGGGGGGCCAAAGAGAATTTGAGACATGAGTGTTTTGCATTGTTAGGGTGGGCACTAAACAAATGGAAAGAGTCCGCATTAAAGCACTTAAATGTCTGCTGGATGGTCTCATGCATAATGTATGAGCTTCTAGGACCAGATCAATATGCTCCCATTGGTTTGTATCGTAATTAAAAAAAGAATTGATCCCTCATATGTCATATTGTGACATATTAAAATATTAATTGTGATTGTATATATTAATCTCTTTGTTCTTTGCTGTATCAATGTGTGACTGTGCCATATATGCAACAATAAATTTGCGCCTTGTGACTGTTTCATCCATTTCGTGGTCACCAAATGGACTTTTAACCACGCGGCTTGTTCATCGTCAATAACCGAGCAACGCTGCTCTTCACCTGAGACACAAAGACGCAGCGTATCCATGACGACGCCACTGACTGTGAAAAGCACTTTTGGCACCCTTTTTCACCCCTCCCTGTCATTTGGCCTCGTGGAGGAAACTGCAAGGATGTGCTTCAGTTAATGATGGTGATAATGATGACACGTGTTTAATTAATCCTAAACCAAATACAAAAGTTCACCAAAGCCCCTTTGACACTGCCTGTAAAATAGAGTAGAACCTTTTTTATCGAGAACATTTTCAAAATAGTACTTTATTTTTAATCCAGATTTTATTTATTTGTTTTTATTAATTACACAATGAATTCCTAAAATATTTCAAGAAACTTTCCAAATGAATTTGGGGAAATTTTGAGATATATTTTTTCATAGTAATTAAATGCAAACATTTGCTTTGCGATAATCTGTTGTATGCTTCCCTCACAAGTCTGAATTTATTGTGTTCGTGGAATAAAATAAGATCAGGTGAAGCAACTGTCCTCAGGCTCGCGTTGCGGACTTCACATGACCAAACTCAGAAAATAGGTGATCCGTGATGGCAATTTTGCGTCAATTTCTGTCAACAGCAGAAGGCGCTATTGGCCCAAATGGCAGCCCACTGACATGTATCAGCATGGAGGGAGAATAATTCTCGAGGGTGACAGCTAGGGCCATCGCCCTGCCGTGCTGCTTCAGGGCGCACTGTCACCAGATATAATTCCTCCAACGGCCGTCTAAATTGTTATTTACTTGGGGGCAGACTTCAGCTCTAGAATATATGAAATAAACGTGTGCATGAGTAATTATTTCACGTAATAAGATGAAAATATATTTTTTTAAATGCAACTTTATGATGTTCGTCTGAAGAAAATGCACCAAAACCAAAGAATAATGTCATTTCAGCTGTTCTGATGTCAAACAAAGCGAATGGGAACAGAAGCAATGGGACAATAGGCTACAGTACCGAAACGCACCTAAACGCTCATTGGCTGACTGTCCTTACACGAACCAATCGCAACCTTTCATCCCCGCCTTCCACTTCCGGGTGTCTTCAATGGAGAAATCCTTTCCCGTTTAACGGGCAATATTGTGTTTTGGAAGTAAAATTAACGTTCCCCCACGTAAAAACAATGAACAGACTATTCGGTCGAAGTAAACCAAGAGCGCCTGCCCCAGATCTGTCAGAGTGTATCGGCAATGTGAGTAGTACCTGGCAGTCCCAGACATGTTTGTTGTTTATTGTTATACTTTCCGTTATTTTTCTCGTCTGGCTACAACTCGCCATGCTATTTGTAATTGTTTATTGCATTTGGTTGTAATTAACATCGAAAAAACAGTGTTATTTATGGGTTGTTTTTAACAAGCTCTGGCCACCCTTATTTCAAGACCGATGATAATCAGTAGCTCAAAGTGGGGGAGCCATTTTAGTCTAAATCAAGGCGTCCCAGTAGCCATAACCATTATGGGTGAGAGGGGGTAAATTAACGTTATGTGACGTTCCAGGTGGACGCCAGGGGTGAGTCTATCGAGAAGAAGATCAGCATGCTGGACGCAGAGCTTTTTAAGTACAAGGAGCAGATGAAAAAGCTGAAGGATGGGCCCTCCAAGGTGAAAAATACTAAACGAAATCAATCAGAACTAAATTCACCAGACGTGGTCTTCGTTATTTTATTTTTTTGTTTTTGTAGAACATGGTGAAACAGAAGGCCATGCGAGTGCTGAAACAGAAGAAGATGTGAGTACACACAGAAAGTACACTTTCACACTCAGACACTTTAAAATGAGAACGCAGCCCTTAAATAAATTCCTGAGACCAGAACGATATCGGTATAGAACCCAACTTGTGAGTACTCACTGATACTAAATAAGATTACGGTACTACTTTTGATACTTACCGTTTCTAGTTCACCAATGACAATTTTACAGTAAGACCATTCGTTTAATTCTGACAAAAGGCAGAACATTCACCCTGCAATAGACAATTAAATTCTAAAATAAAACACAAGCAACTCTGAATTTAGGATTGAAACAAAAGTTGAAAATTCAATTCAGAACTCACTGAGAACCAAAACAGCAGCACCGACCGAGCCACGTGGAGAGTTTCCAGGACAATTTTTACCGCGGTACTTATGGTTTGCTGTCACACAGGTACGAGGGTCAGCGAGAGCAGCTGGCTCAGCAGTCTTTCAACATGGAGCAGGCCAACTACACCCTGCAGACGCTCAAGGACACCAAGTCGACCGTAACATTTGCTGCCTTCTGTGCATGTGTGCTGTGCAAAATTTGCTCTTCCTTCCTCACAAAGGAGGACATCGCCCTTGTTGTTCTTTGGCCAGGTGGACGCCATGAAGATTAGCGCCAAGGAAATGAAAAGGGCCTACAAGGAAGTCAAAGTGGACCAGATTGATGTATGTCAATCTCTCTATCTCCATGCATCCATCCATGCATCCATCCATATTTACCAATATTCATATTTCAGGACCTGCAGGACCAACTGGAGGACCTGATGGAGGACGCCAACGAGGTTCAGGAGGCAATGAGTCGCAGCTACGGCACTCCCGATATTGACGAGGATGACTTGGAAGCGGGTATGCTCAAGCAGCAGCTCAGCAACTCGCGCAGTTTGACAACCCATTTTACGTTCGAATGTTGAAGGTTTTGAATGTAAATTAATGACTCGACGTGTTTTGTCAAAATGGGTATTTTTCTTATTTTATGTGAAGAAAGAAACCCATCTATACTTGTGTTATTTCCGTGGAAGATGATGCGAGGAAAATCATTGTTGACACGGGATATTTGATGTGAAAGCCGTGAAAGACATTCTGTTGCTTTTGCGGGCTGGCAGAGCTGGACGCACTCGGTGATGAGCTCCTGCTGGACGAAGACACCTCTTACCTGGATGATGCTTCGGCCGCTCCCTCTATCCCTGAGGGCATGCCTGGAGAAAGCAAGACAGACAAGGTCGAGACACCAAATGTCTGCTATTCATTTGTAGATTATTTCTATGTTTTGTTTTGTTTTTTCAAATCATACTCATATCTTTCTTCCATTTGCAGGACGGCGTTTTGGTGGATGAGTTCGGCCTCCCGCAGATTCCCGCCACTTAAATGCACGTGTCAGCTGCACTTTGACTGAAACCACTTAATATTTATTACTTATTTTTTAATGTACTGTAGATGAACACAAATACAGCACATGTGATTGGTGACTACTACTATGTGCAGCACTGTAACATACTTGTTTTTAATTCCATTCAAAAATCATAATTTCATCATATGCTCGGAAGTTATTTATGGTCTTGATTTTTCAGTATTGTTTTTGTGATTTGTGAGGGGCATTGAGAGTGTCTGCAGATTTAATGTTTGAATTAAATGTTGATTTGTTGGTTATTCGAGCTCATCTGTGTCGTTTCTTTCAGTTGGAGGAGAAATTGCCACAACGTATTGGAATACCGGCTTAGAGCAAGGGTGGGCACGGTATGGCCCGGTGGTCTCATATGAATCAATCCATTCTTGAATCTACAGTAGCTCAACTTACATTTACAGCCTATAATATTCATTGCCTTCTATCCGTGATTTGTTAAAATACACTTATCCATTTCTATATTTCATAAAATGATTCTGCAACTGGTTCGTTGGAAGTCGAATGATAAAATAGATGGGAAATACAAAAAACGGTGACATATAGAGTCCATATTGTAAGTGTATTTTATTAAGTAATTGGTATATTTATTCTAAATACAGTGTTCGTAAGTACTGTTTACAAATGTGCAGTTTTTCTTGTATTAAATTGGTTTGTAAAGTTATTCTGTGTGTGTGTGTGTGTTGCGATTTTGTTTAATTAATTCTAATTATGAATAATACAAGTTTACAAAATAGTTCTTCGAAGTATAACATTTTAAATGTATCTAAAATCAGTTTTATCAAAGTGAAGTTTACATGTACATTCCCCATTGAACAAAAAGTGAACCGACCGAAGCCTTCGAGGAACTACCAAAAGAGTTGTTTACCAAAACCCGACTCTGGTGGGACTCGAACCCACAACCTTTGAATCACTTCCGACGTGAATTTGCTAGAAGTCCAATGCGCTATCCATTGCGCCACAGAGCCAACTATCATGTTGTATCACGAATTTCAATCCCGTTAAATATAAAAGAACGTTTGTATGGGCCAACTTTCTTGTCTAATTTTGCCATTTCGAACTGAATAAAGCAATATTTGTTGTAAAAGTGGTATCCTCGCGACATGAATCGAACATTAGCTCTGGAATTGTGTTTTTAAATGAATTATTTAATTCAATTTTATTTATTATTGTAATATGGAATTGTTAATAGGAACACTATTTCGGAAACACAGTTTCAAGTATTGTTTAAATAAAATCACCCTGTCGTTAATTCGGTCAAATGAACTGCTTCCGGTTTTACTCGGAAACAGTTAACTTGCCATTAGCTTTTAGCATAGTTATTCATGCCACGATTAATGTAAACGGCGATATTTAAACATGTCGGCGCAAGCAATCACCGTGTTCGTCGCTTACGGTAATATTATAACCTTCTAATTATCAGAAGATATTCGAATAATATTTGTTATGTCTTATGTCGTAACGAGAATTACAGTCGGCGGAAATAAATGGCTTGCTAGCGTGCTTGCTATCGGGGTAAACAGAAGAGCATAACAAGCCTTGTAGCACAGCGTGAATGTTATTCTGCTTTACTCAATGTTTTAGAGGCGTACATTTCAACAGTGATTCGTTTCAAAAAGTATCTCATGCTGCTTCGTGTTAGTCATTGGATTCAGCTTCAGCAAAGTGTGTGGCTCACCGGCACCACGGTCGACTCGTGATTGTCACGTCTGCCTCACAGTTCTGAAGTTGTGGCTAGTGTTTTTTACCCTAATATGTTTGCGTTGTTTTTTTTAAGTATGAATATGGACAAACGCTATATAAATGGATGCAAGGATCGACGTTTGTTATTCCTGATAATTCCCCCCTCCAGGTTCTACGAAGCACAATATCAAGGTGACCACTCAGGAGGATGGCAAGAGTCCCACTGTCAAAGACCTGTCAGATTGTCTCACACAGCTCACCGGAGTCCCTCAGGCCTCTCAGAAGATCATCTTCAAGGGTAAGAGCCATTTTTGGACGGCTGTCGGTGCGATTGTTTCCCTCATTGCGATTCTGCTGACGTTACAGGGAAGTCGCTGAAGGACATGGAACAGACACTGTCCAGCTACGGGATAAGTGACGGATGCAAGCTCATGATGATTGGAAAGAGGGTGAGACTTTAAAACTTTCTGTGTGTGTGTGTGTGTGTGTGTGTGTGTGTGTTACGGTGTATTAAGGCGGACTCTGCCAACAGAACAGTCCTGAGGAGGAAGCTGAGCTGAAGAAGCTGAAAGACATCGAAAAATCAGTGGAGCAGATGGCAAAAAAGCTGGAGAAGGTTGACGGGGAGTTGACTGGACTGAAGAACGTACGTTCGTTTATCTTTTCCTGCATACCTCTTGCGCTGTTCATGTCAAAGTCAGCATAAAAACACCAAGGAGTATGAACATTCTGCTCAAAATAAATACAAAGCCCTAAGATATGACTTTGAGGGGGGGGAAAAAAGTGCTTTTGCGATGGATTCATAACCAACTTTCATTTCGCAAACGAACATTTTTTTTTCGAATAAAATATCAAATTTAATCTGTACCTTTATTTTCATTCTTTAGAGTGTCGTCAGTCACGTGATTTTCAGTTGATCTGATCTCGTGTGTAAAAGATTGTATCAAATACTTTGCGACTTTTTTTTTAACAGGGCTTCCTGGCCAAAGATCTTCAGGCTGACGCTCTGGGCAAACTTGACCATCGAGTGAAAGTCGCAGCCGAACAGTTTATGAAGATCCTGGAGCAGATCGATGCTCTGGTAATCTCTTTCACCTTAATTTAATAATATTATAACCTTCTAATTATCAGAAGATATTCGAATAATATTTGTTATGTCTTATGTCGTAACGAGAATTACAGTCGGCGGAAATAAATGGCTTGCTAGCGTGCTTGCTATCGGGGTAAACAGAAGAGCATAACAAGCCTTGTAGCACAGCGTGAATGTTATTCTGCTTTACTCAATGTTTTAGAGGCGTACATTTCAACAGTGATTCGTTTCAAAAAGTATCTCATGCTGCTTCGTGTTAGTCATTGGATTCAGCTTCAGCAAAGTGTGTGGCTCACCGGCACCACGGTCGACTCGTGATTGTCACGTCTGCCTCACAGTTCTGAAGTTGTGGCTAGTGTTTTTTACCCTAATATGTTTGCGTTGTTTTTTTTAAGTATGAATATGGACAAACGCTATATAAATGGATGCAAGGATCGACGTTTGTTATTCCTGATAATTCCCCCCTCCAGGTTCTACGAAGCACAATATCAAGGTGACCACTCAGGAGGATGGCAAGAGTCCCACTGTCAAAGACCTGTCAGATTGTCTCACACAGCTCACCGGAGTCCCTCAGGCCTCTCAGAAGATCATCTTCAAGGGTAAGAGCCATTTTTGGACGGCTGTCGGTGCGATTGTTTCCCTCATTGCGATTCTGCTGACGTTACAGGGAAGTCGCTGAAGGACATGGAACAGACACTGTCCAGCTACGGGATAAGTGACGGATGCAAGCTCATGATGATTGGAAAGAGGGTGAGACTTTAAAACTTTCTGTGTGTGTGTGTGTGTGTGTGTGTGTGTGTGTTACGGTGTATTAAGGCGGACTCTGCCAACAGAACAGTCCTGAGGAGGAAGCTGAGCTGAAGAAGCTGAAAGACATCGAAAAATCAGTGGAGCAGATGGCAAAAAAGCTGGAGAAGGTTGACGGGGAGTTGACTGGACTGAAGAACGTACGTTCGTTTATCTTTTCCTGCATACCTCTTGCGCTGTTCATGTCAAAGTCAGCATAAAAACACCAAGGAGTATGAACATTCTGCTCAAAATAAATACAAAGCCCTAAGATATGACTTTGAGGGGGGGGAAAAAAGTGCTTTTGCGATGGATTCATAACCAACTTTCATTTCGCAAACGAACATTTTTTTTTCGAATAAAATATCAAATTTAATCTGTACCTTTATTTTCATTCTTTAGAGTGTCGTCAGTCACGTGATTTTCAGTTGATCTGATCTCGTGTGTAAAAGATTGTATCAAATACTTTGCGACTTTTTTTTTAACAGGGCTTCCTGGCCAAAGATCTTCAGGCTGACGCTCTGGGCAAACTTGACCATCGAGTGAAAGTCGCAGCCGAACAGTTTATGAAGATCCTGGAGCAGATCGATGCTCTGGTAATCTCTTTCACCTTAATTTAATCCATGGAAAAAAAAAAAAACAGTAGTACAGTGTTGCCTTGGTATGTGAGTTTATTTCGGGCCATATTCAGAACTAAAAACACTTGTATCTCAAATCTTCTTTCCGTAGTGAAATGAAGATAAGTACCATTAATCTGTTACAGTTCCCCATGAAGTACAACCCAATTTTGTGATGTTTTTTTTTTTTGTAAGAAAAGCATCACTCTGCAGGATTGTACCGTATAAAAACATAATATTGAAATAACGTAATGGAATGTAAAGAATCAGACGGTTTGTTCATCATGCTCATTCCATGGGCACTGTGCTGCTCATATTCTGGTGCGTACATATTGGCCACAAGGGGGCAGTGTAATACATAAGATGCAATACTATTCAAGATGAAGAATATAAAATAACTGTTTTATGCTCGGTTTTCAGATATGTGTAATTAAAATGTGTGCCTTTGCCCTCAGAGCGTCCCGGAGAACTTCAATGACTGCCGGCACAAGAAAAAGGGCCTTGTGAAGACGGTGCAGGTAAGTGCTTGACTCACATTTCCTCTGCCATTCAATGAAACTGGCAAAAAAAAAAAAAAATATATAAAATATATAAATATATATATAAATAAATAAAATCAGTGTTGCTCACAAGATGTCCTCGCGTCAGGACTTCTTGGCCCAGTGTGACAAGATGGAGGCTTGCATATCAGACCACCTGACAAAGATCCAGTCTAAAAATCTGGCCCTGGCAGATTGAAGACATCCTGTACTCATACCGTTGTTATTGCTCTGTGAGCAACTACTGTGCTGTGTACAGAAAGCACCTGCGTTATCTCTATTTATTACTATTGTGGTGTTTTTTGATTAAAACACATTTAAAAGCTCTGAATTGATAGTTAACGCTTGTATGAGTTGGAATCTTGCCTAAAAGAATGTCACAGAAAGACAACAAAAGGAATTGAGTCTTTTTAATTTTATTTTGCATTTCATTTTGAAGACTTCAAATGCAATCACAATTCTGCAATTTATATTCGATCCATTTGCCCGTTTTTTTTTTTTTTTTTTAATGGAAGACATTTTGAATATTTCCTATCAGGATCGTCTGAACAATTCATGGAATCGGTTCATAGTTTTACTTCATTTCAGTTCAAATTGTCCCTATTTTATTCTTGTATTGAGTTATGTCACTTAAAACATTACCTATACAGGTAATAAAGCATTGCTTTTTTTTTTTGCAGCATTTAACTTTTTTTTCTGTTTTTAACTGAAATGACTTAAAAACATTTCACTGTCGATTGGTTTGAAAGGGGCAACAGTTTGCAGCTGAAACAAAATGAGTCCATCCTTTTACTTTTAGATTAGTAATTAACTTGTTGAAGTGAGTAGAGTTTTTTTAACAAGATAAAATTTACGTGTTGAAGCAGTTTGGGGAAGAAAATGCAAATGCAACTGAAATCTGACGTTTGACGTTATGAGGGTGACTGTCTAAACCTGAAACAAACAATGAAGTTTTTTTTTAAACACTTGTATGACAATTAAAATGTTATCGAACATGACATGTCTTAGTCAAGAAAGGATGGTGGCAGTTTAAGACTAAAAAAAAAAAAGTAATAAATAACCAGTGGTTTGTTTAGATGTGGCAATGTTACACTTCTATTGGCTAAATGCCTACTGTATCAAGAGGTGATCGCGAATTAATGATCATCAGTCACAGTAACACATGCATCGTCTTTAACAGATACATTACCGGTACATAAATTTTTAATACTTGAACACATACTCTTAGTGATGTGCAAATGAGCAGGAAGCAGCTACATGACAGCCTTACGGCGGGCTACACAAAACACACAACGATAATTTGCACTCCTCCGGTGGTGGGTCGGGTCAGTGGCTAATTGTCCTTGTCCTTGGCGCCGTGCTTGAGGATACGCGTGAACACCATGTAGTTGAAGTTGCCCTTCTTGTCGATGGGCGCCTCCCGGAAGAGCTCATCCACTTCCTCGTCCGTGAACCTGTCGCCCATGGTGGTCAACAGCTCACGGAGCTGTTCGTCCTGGATCATTCCTGCCGTCGCCACAAGAGACACACTTGTTACACTCGGTCATGTATTGTAACGGCAGTACAATATTCCATAAACTGTACTTCCTTCTTAAAATTCTGGCAACTTTTCACATTTTATTTTTTATCCCTCCTTTGTACACTGGCAAAAAGATATTTTCTGAACATCAGATTTGTACCTGAACAAATGAAGTGGGTGATTTTACTGTACATTGGGACTATAATAAAGGCTGTCTCATCTAATTCTCCTTGTCTCCTTGATGGGACTTCTGGTGAGCGGCCCGAACATATAAACAGAGAAACAAGGATCCAAGAAGTTGAAACTAAAAAAATAACAGATTTGTCCTGTACCAATTTTTTTGGCAACACGGTCAGAGCATTCGACACGTGGCTTCAAAATGCACTCACCTGTGCCTTCTTCGTCAAAGCAGGCAAAGGCATTTCGGATGACGTCCTCGGGGTCGGTGCCGTTCAGCTTCTCCCCGAACATGGTGAGGAACATTGTGAAGTTGATCGGACCCGGGGCTTCGTTCATCATGGCCTCTAGGTAGTCATCAGTGGGGTTTTTACCTGAAGAAAAACAACAAAGTGGTAACTGGTCAGAAAGTACTGTTGTTTTTGTGTTGCTGGTCTACCTAGAGAGGCCAACATGTCGTGCAGGTCCTCCTTGTCGATGAAGCCGTCCCTGTTTTGGTCAATCATGTTGAAGGCCTCCTTGAACTCCTGGATCTGGGACTGGTCGAACATTGCAAACACGTTGGAGGTGGCGCGCTGAGGGCGCTTCTTAGTGTTCTTGCCCTTGGCCCTTTTGCTCGACATGTTGGCGACTCTAAAGTCCCCTTCGCCTCCTTCTGGAATGCAAAATATCACCGATCTGTCAAGGAGGGGAAGCTCAATTTAGGCCTACATCATAAAATGCGTCCGTTTATTTATACGTGAATTCTACTCTCCGTTCCTTTTCCAAAAAAAAAAAATGAAAGGATGCCTTCACCGTAAGATCATTGGCTCATTCGCTGTCAATCAATAAGGATTCAGCCTCAGCGAGATCATCCAATCATCATGAAGAAAAGCTGAGCTTCTGCACGCCCACTGTCCATAGACTCCCAGAGACATTGAGCGTCCAATGGGCGGGACAAAGCCAGCATTTATCCAATGACTTGTCTCGTTTGAATGCATTGGGACAACCAAACCCTCTCTCGACGCCCATCGTCCGCGCAGTCGACGCTCAGCGTCCGCACCGTTTAAAGCACAAGTGAAGCTGTGGGAATGAAAGAAAAGAGAGTCCCGTCGTAACCAGTCATAAGAAGCTGATTCGGAACAAAGGTTGAGCACGTTGTAGCGCATATTTAATCAACGAATATTGTCATACTCTTGTATTTGAAGACGGAATATTGAAATGGCCCGTTCGGTTTATCTATCATATTCCATCTTTAAAGAAGAAAGTTAAGTGAATTGAAATTCCACCGTCAGAGATTCATGACCGTCTCGTTCCAGAGCTCGAGTTCTTATCGATGACATCTGGCACACGGCGGGCATTTCAACGGTGTATCTCCTCAACGGTCATGACTAAAAACAATCATCTGAATGTCGTCAAAGTGGGACAGCATTTTAAAATACACAGTACATGTGAAATGTAGGGTGCAAAAACAAGAACCAAAAATGCTAGTCACCCCTGATAACCCGCAAACTTGCCCTCATTCTGTATCGGTTTCATTAGATGGGACAAAAGACTAGCATCAAAGAAGAGTACAACATAGTATCTGCAGGGACACTGCAACACAACTACACCAGATAATGAATACATATTTATTACAATGCATCAACAAAAACAACTACACCTGCTACTTTATTCTGTACACGTAGACAAAACTAAAAAGCAGCATAATACCGCAACAGAGATTACGATGCTCATATTTTCTCAGATTAACTAAAACATTAAAAGCCAATTAGGAGCTGTTGTGGTCCCCGCCCCCTCCCCTCCCGAGGTGTACTTCATAAATTAGCAGGTTAAATTTATGGGTCAATTTGTTTTTCCATCGGCAGCAATAAAAGCCAGAGTTAAATATCAAACAAACATGGTACTATAAATGTAATTCACGAGTCATTGTTGGAAAAAAAAAAATCACAAAATAGTGTATAAATAAAACAGAATTGAGCAATTGGTTTACACGATAAACAATGTAAAAGGAATGATTCACTTGATATAAAATTTCCAGTATTCATACTTGGACTGTTCAAAACAGGGATTGATTAATGTCAACTCCCCGCCCCCTTCTTCTGTCAAACAAGTTGGACTAGTTATCCAGTCAATCCAAATGTTGACTGTACTGTAATACGTACAACATAAGAAAAGGCAAACTGTGTGAGCAGAAGCTCTCATTTGTCACTAAAACAAAACGGCTACTCTGTAAAATTCGCTGCAATTCAATTTGGATGTCTGGGTGTTTGAATCGAAGGTACTGATTTCCAAGAAAAATACGCTGTCCTTAACATCTCCCTGTGATATGAAGCACTGGGGAAAAGGAAATTTGGCACACCAACAATAACTCCCAGGGATACAAAACAGCATCTAAAGCTTTTGTAGCCTCTTTCCAGATTAAAAAAAAAAAAATCATAAATCACACAAATACAGTTCATTTTGATATGTGTAACAATCACGGGGTAAGAGAAACTCGACTATAAGGACATGTGTGACACTCGGAAGGTGCAGCATCCTTGGGATATAAAACTAAAAACATCTGCCTCGTGTTTTTTTTTTTTTGCAGGGCACGCCTCATCGGACCGCGTCTTCCTCTAGTAATCCGTCCCATCCTCCCTGTACACCTGCTCCTCCTCTTGGTAACCCTGATAACCCTCATCTTGGTAGTCTGGGATGTAGGCTCCGCTGGCGCCATTAGTTTCCTCTGCAACCTCGCCGCCCTTGGTACAGTACTTGGCGTCGTAGATCTGCCGGCCCAGGCCAAAGTTCTGGCCGCTCTGATTGGCTCCCTGGCTGTAGCCCATCTGGAGGGACATGGTGCTGTTGTCACACTTGTCCGTGCCCAGTTTCTGGTCATAGATGGCGCGTCTCGTACCCGGCGCGGTCATCCCGGCCTAAAACAAAAATGCAATGGTAAGTCCCCTCAAGCACACCGGTGTCTTTTTTTTTTTTTTCCTCCCCTCCCCATTTTCTTGACTGCGTTGCTCACTGACGGTTGACAAATGTGTGCTCGTGGGGTGGGCCGCGTGAAATTAGCTCACGGCGATATCTTGTGTCGGAAAGCGTCGACAAGCTGTTTGTTGGGCTTTGCATGCGGCACTTTGCACTTTTTTTTCTTTAAGTGTGAAATTCTGCCACACTTGTGGAGCAAAACTTGCCCCAGCCATCTTCAACTAGCAAAACGCATCCGTTGTAATCTGCACACATTCGTACCTTGAACAAATCGCCATCTTTGCGTTTCTTTGGGTCACGTTATCGGACAGCGATTGATACTGAACAGCTTCCTAATGCGGCACAGTCGTGTGCCGTACTCTTGCACTTTTGTGTCGCGCTGGTGGATGGCTTTCTCTGATTGCGGAGCGATGGTGGTGGGATGATTCCCCGCCCATACCTGGCTTGCCCCCTTGTTGGTTCCCATTTGCAGACTGATGGTGGTGTTGTCCCTCGGGGGCAGCATTGGACATTTGGGGTCATACAAATGCCTCCTGGTGCCGTACGCGTTCATACCTGCCTGGCTGGCACACTTGTTGGTCCCCATCTACAAAGGGCAAACACCAAAATCCTCAATTCAAAAAAAAAATAAAAATAAAAAATAAAAAAATCATCATTTGCCACAAACGAATGCATCCTCGGGGGCAGCATTGGACATTTGGGGTCATACAAATGCCTCCTGGTGCCGTACGCGTTCATACCTGCCTGGCTGGCACACTTGTTGGTCCCCATCTACAAAGGGCAAACACCAAAATCCTCAATTCAAAAAAAAAATAAAAATAAAAAATAAAAAAATCATCATTTGCCACAAACGAATGCATCTGTGTTTATTTCTTGATCTAGGCCACTGGCGTAGAACCTTGAAATGCCTCCGCTCGGCAAACACGGATTCACGCAACGCGTCGACATGATCCGACGGCATCGGGGAAACAGACGAACGCATTCGGCAAAAGGTTGTCCCAGCGACTTGAAAGGACAAAGCGCACTGACTGGTGAGCGGCACGAGGCCCTTTATTCATTTTTTATTTCTTTAAAAACCAACCAAACAAACAAACACCAACAACATATTGATACATTTTGGCACTAAATTAGAGGGCTTTTGCAAACGTATTTTTACATTTTGGCATGAAATGAGTTAATATAAGTGACCAGTTGTCGGGGGTCTTCAAGACAAAATGAAGTGTACCTGGAGGCCGATAACACACTGTCCAGCCTTCAGCTTCTCCTCGTCGAACGTCCGCTTCTGCTTGTCTGCATATTTCACGCCAATGTCGACCCGTGACTGGGCGCCGTTGGTCTTGGCCTGCACAAAGACGACGAGGTCGCAGCGCATCACTCGGCAAGTTATGACGTCAGCTGTGTTGGGAATCACTCGCCATTGTCGCGCTGTTCGCGTGTCGGTCCGGATATCACAATGGCAGCAGACAGACGCTGGCAAAGCGGCGACACTTACCATGCTGGCCAATGCCAGCAGCGTGGTCTGCAACTGCGTCTTGTTGCCATTCTCGAAAAGGTCGTTGGCTTCAAAGGTGTCGTGGGGCTTCAGGCCGTAGGCTTTGATCGCCGTGATGAAGTTGGTCAGGTTCTCCAGCTGAGAGTCAAAAGGAAGGGATGAAGGTGAGCGTGGACGGTGGAATCTGCTTCTCTCTGCAAGATGGGCCATTGGAGCCCATTTTGGGGAAGCCTCAAAAGCAGTCCTAAATTCAATCTCGGCACCGCGAACGTTTTCGCCGTTATTTGCTTGTTTCTTTTTTCAAATAGATGGATTTTTAAAAAAAGCTACAGCTGTGTATTAACATACAACAGACCTCACAACAAGATGCAGTGAGGTCATTAACGCAATTAACATCTCCACGCCCTCATGAATACGAGAATTCATCATGCGGCCACTCACCTGGTGCCAGTTGAGCGACGAGTGGTTGATTGTTTTCACAGACCCAGGTCGGAGTTTGTTAATAAGCCTGAGCGAGAACAGAAATGTATTTAGAAGCGTCGCAAAAGACCACGGCAAGGGAGGTTTAGTCATCTCGGCTTACTGGCACAGAATGACTCCACTTTTGAGGCTGTTCTGGAAGTCGTCGCCGATGGTGGCGCCAGTCAGATCCTCGATCCAGATCCTCAGCTCCTCCTCCTTCTGGAGGTCGTATTTCATTGCAATCTGTCCAAGAAAGACGGATGGGTCAAGAGGCCATTGCAATTCCTTACCTCGTGACCCCCCCCCCCAACTTCACCTCTTGATTTCAAATAGTTCTTGTCACCATGTTGATTCAAGGCAAGGGCAAGGTCATGAAGATGCATTTGATACACAGAAGTTCAGTTTATGTCTGTGAAATTCAAAATTATGGCTGCAGATTGTGTTTCACGGTCACGGCCTACATTTCCCTTTGTATGTCAAAACTGTGTTTTTTTGGCTCCAGGCAGAACACAATTTTGAAAACTGAGCAATTCGCAACCCAATTGTGACAGGAGATTCATGGATGCAGTGAGGGAAGACATGTAGGTAGTTGGCGTCAGAGTAGAGGATGCAGAGAACAGAGAAACATGGAAATGAATGACTCGCTGTGGCAACCCCTGAAAAGGGACAAGACGAAAGGAGAAGTAGTAGTTTGGGTTTGACAGGCTATTTGTATGATAAAATAAAGGCAAATGAATCATGACTTCATGTGAAAGACAGTTTATTGATCTCCTTCCATTAGGAGATCAATAAACACTTGCAGTCTTTCAAGAGTTTGTCTTGGTAGAATTCTATCAGACAAGTATGGCGGCAGGATAAGTCAGCAAGTCATGTTTCATCAAACAAGGAGATTTTCGATAAGACTTGGACCGGAGCACTGAACTTGCGCATGGGAAATACATGACATATACATCCGCGAAGC